CAGAAGCAAGGAAGTGTGATGTTTGCCTGGATCTGAACACGTCAGCAGGAAATAGGGCTGACGTGTGGGTCTGAGGGCTGTGTGGGTCAGCCATTGCAGCGTCAGATAACGCCGAGTGCTGCTCGGTAGCTGTTCGTTCCCCTGTAGTTGGGCTTCAGTTAGGCTGTTAACTCCTGAACTGTGAGTGCGGGGTTCATTGCATAGCAGGAGTGTGGTCCTTCTTGGTACGGAATTGATATCTGCTGATGAACATAACCAGAATCATACCATGCACCATAGTGCATTCAGTCATGAAATGAAAACGCTGAAATAGTGGTGTATTTTTTTCTAAAGTGTCTTTGATATAAAAAGGCAAACATCTTTTAGTAGTGGTTCTTAAGTTGTTGTAACCAGAGGTTTCCCCTGATTTCTTCCATCAAGATTTATGGCTTTCCTGAATGTATCAGCTATTTCAAGTCTGCCCATCCCAGAGCACGTCACATTTTTTCTTCCTCCTTAAATAAAACAGCCGACTGAGAATAGCAGAGCAGCTCTAAAATCCTTGTGAAACATCTTTTTTTTAACTGACAAAGCTGCCTTGCTTGTTCATTCATCTTTTTCCTTTAGAAATAGCCAATTAATACTTCCATTTTGTGTCAGTAATTTTTAAATATAAATTAAAAAAAAATCAATTAAATTGGAGACCACGGTGTGGTGCTGCTTTGGTTTTATGCTTTATCTCCTGCTGAGCTCTATTTTTAAACACTGACTGAAAAAGAATTAATGCCCACGTTTTATTGAAATGTTTAATAGTAATGTAATCTTGTGATTGTTTTCCAACTTAATACATATAAAAGCATCTTACAGAAAGGCCAAGTGTATGTGTGTGGATACTTCGTTTTTATTGGTACTAATCACAGAGAACTGCCTTGAACTACTTAGTTGTTGAAAAACTTGTTTCGATTAGCATTTATTGCAGTCTGATTGCATGGTGAAAGTCTTGATTCCTTTATAGCACACTGGTTCAATTACTAGATAGCCTTAAATATTGGTGCTTGAGTCTTGAACTTTTCTCACAGCAGTGATGGCTCGTATTCATGTGAGTCCATTAACATCTTGGTGAGTAGGAAAAGTCTGACAGCTGCAGCCTGGCACTTCCTTATCGTAAGTCGATACAGCATTCCACACAGACAGTCACACCTCGATTTGTGCTGTGCTCTCTTCTGGTATTTAAGCTCTCATAGTTCCTAGTGGCAGCTCTCATTTTGTTGGATGATCTTCAGTGGTTTGTTCCATAAGAGCAGTTTGCATTCAGTTTCTCTTTGTTCGCACAGGATGATTTTGCCCCGTCATTTGATGGGACAGTGCTCTAAAGTGACTGATGTTTTGTACTGCTGTTAGAATGTAAGGAGCTCCTCTGCTGAATTCATGCGACCCTTCGTAAACTTTGCTTCGTCTTTCATGAGGGAACTTTCAACAAGTAGTTGAGCTGGTCAGGCTGTTGCCTGGAAGATCTATGGTAAAGGAAATCAATTTTCTGGGCACATAAGAACTTTACTTAGTCTGTCTCTATACATTATAACCACTATCAGAAGCAATCAGTGTGCATTTTTCCCCAGTTGTAATTAGGGAAGCATTCACAGATCCTGGTAAAAAGCAAAGTCCTGTTGGAATAGAAGCAGTGTTTTCACTGAAGGTGTCACAGTGCTAACCTCATACTCTGCATGCCTGGAATGCCAGTTCTTCCTTTGTCCCTGAGTTTTTTTCCTGTGACCCTGGGCGAGTCTTTGTAGGAATGTAATGTTCTTAGTATGTGAAGGAAGAGGATAGCAGCTGGGGATGGCTGTTGTCATTTGTCTGTACTCTCAAGCTTTAGTGCTTTCTGTAACCTCACGGAGTTTGTAAATAGTGCAAACAAATGTCTCGCACTGTTACTGTGGTAATGCAGCTTGGAAGAAGCTTGCTGCTATTCTTTGCCAGTCACTTTTCAGTGCACCGGCAAGGGTGGGATCCCACATGTGGTAGGGTTGGTTAATTCTCTTGTATCTGGTTTGTGAAGTTGAAGAACAATTTTATTGTCAATTTCTTATCCGAATACTGTAATTGTTGCTTTGGTTTTTAGAGCAAGAATAAAAGCAGGTAATATCTGTGTACTTTTTCACATATGGGGCTGAGTGCTCACACCTGCCTTCAGCAGTGGTCACAGCTCATGTAGCTCAGGCATGGCTAACCAGGCTTCACTGTTAAGAGACAAAAAGGAAGACTCAACGCCGAGCAAACTGAAGAATGCTGCAGAATTCCCTGTTTTTTTTTTCACTTTCCAAAAATATTAAAAAAAAAAAAGTTGACCAAACCCCACGCAGCTACCACAGTGCTTCCAACAATACTGAATACCAGTGAATGTCTGAGGTTTTATATCCCAAACTTTTGAATGAGAGATGGAGCCACTAAGAAGCAGAATTGCAGCTGTGTGGCAATAGGGCTTTTTGCTATTGATGTAAGTCATGTTTGTACAGAACTTTTGATATTGATTTGATGCAAATGATTCATCTCAATTTACTAAATAAATGGAGGGATACACCTTTCAGGAAGAAAAATTGCAGTCTTTTATTAGCAAATGTGTGTTGCTGATTTTTCAGAATTGACTGAAGGTAGCTCATCAGTTTCAAAAGCATTTCTCACTGAGTGACTTCATAGCATTATTTCTTCCTTGTGTGTGTACATATATGATGTCCCTGTATGTGAATGAACACTCACTACTTATGTTTTCCTTAGTGCAGGAAGAGGAGAATGTGAGTCAGGTTAAGTGATACGGTATGAAGTTGATAAACACTTATTAAATACTTGATTTTAGCTGGAGAACTGAGTGGTTCGAGAAATTAAATCCATAATAAAAAGAATCCCACAGCCAGAAACCTGGAATCTGCTCCATCAGAGAAACCGCCCTGAAGCGTTGCTGTGCTTAATGGAGTCCGTGCTTCAGGTCGGTCTGAGGAACACGTATGTGTTCAGCAGAGGTTTCTGACTCTCCTCCAACAGCTGGGGGCTGTTGGTGGCTGAAGTCCTTTCTGGCAGAAGCGTAGGATGCGAGCACACAGCTTGGAGCCTTTCTGCTGTTGATGTCACTGGCCATCGGTTGCCAGGGAGGAAATGGGGCTGTTCTGGTTTCTTCTGGTACAACGGTTTGTTTTGCCACAGTTTTTGTTGCCTTTCCCCAGTTAGTCTTGGCTGCCACAGCACAAACAGAAATGAGCCCTGTGCCAAAGATAGGAGATGTGTGGTGATTCTGTGATGCTGAGCTTTAATGCTGCTGCATGGGGTTTGGACCTAGAGAGAGTTATAATACAGTCCTCATAGCAACCTTTTTATTACTGTTCTGATTCCTTCAATTAACGTGTAACTGACCTGAGCACAGCCCTGGCGTGCTGTTGGGTATTCTAAATGTGGATACAAATAGGATGAATTGTTTTTTTGTTTTTGAAGTGGCATTTTTTTGTTTTTGTTGTAGGCAGGGGCTTTACTGAGGGCTGGTGCCTTGGATTCTGTGTCGGAGTGTAGGAAGATGCCTGCTCTGCAGGCTGCCTTGGTACCAGAGGTTACAGCTGTAACCTATCAGTGTGCTTTAACCTAATGAGCTGTGCTTTAAATTAGATGCCCTTTTCTGTTTTGTGTGGGAACTATATCCGTGTAGGCTGGGCTGTGATGTGTTGGTCCCTGCTGCCCCATCTAATTCAGTGGTGTCTGCTTGCAGCCCAGTGTTGCTGCGGTGGGACCATCGTGAGCCGTGCTCTCAGCAGCCCTCAGTGCAGGCAGATTGCTCCATGGGAGCGGCCATGTGCTGTCTGTGCAACACTGGGAGTAGTCATAGACAGAGCTTTTCCCTGGTAAGCCAGAATAAAAGAAAAGGTAATCTTCAGAAGTAGGAAATGTCATGTTTTAGCTCCTTAGCATAGGAATAGGCATCGTCTGACAACGTATAAAAGTGATCCCGAAAGTTTATACGTGTTAAAACTGTCACAAGTGTGAGGAGAAGCAAACTATCAATTTAATCTTAAGTGCTTTGTGGAGGCAGAATAATAGCACTCCTTACTGTCCTTAAAAGGTGATGTTTTTTTGCTCGTTTTCAACACAGTGGAGCACTTGGTGCTGTGTGGATGGCACTAATCCCTGCTGTGAGATAAAATAACCAGTGTTCTGAAAGAAGCTGCAGTCTCTGGAAAGTGCTTTTCTGTGGAACCCAAAGTATGTCAGAGCTTTCTGTAACTGTCGTTCTTTTCAATGTTACATGCTCTTAGACGTGAGTAAGAAGTGTGTGGTCAAAGGGTGGAAAAGAAAGATACTTGTGCCTGAATCAGTCGAGCCTAACAAATCTCGTTCAAGGGATTTAATCAACAGTCAGGAAACTCATTTATATGTTACAGCTTCTGAAGGCAATTGGATTCTGTTTTTTATGTGATGTAATTTGGTTTTGTTTTTGCTAGTCAGCAGGGATAAATTGTACCTTACATGCTTCCATAAGCTTAGGCCTCAACAGATGTTTATTCATGATCTTAGTTTTTGCATTGCTGCAATGAAATGTCGTGGTGCATTTCATGTCAGATTAGTCATTACTTGTGGCAAACTGAATTTGAGTGGAAAACTTTGGGCTAAAAGTATTCACATCAGGAGGTGAGACTCATTAATCACTTAACTGTAATGATTATGACCTAGATGAGGTGTTTTTACCATGAATATGATATCTTGTTTTGGAATTAGTATTTCTCTTGTCTTAGAACCATGGATGGGTTGGGTTGGAAGAGAACTTAAAGATGGTCTAGTTCCATCAGCGATTGGAAGGTATTTCAGCTAAATGTGTACTTGTTGGCAAGTAGGTGGACGAAAGCTTTACATTAAAGCATTTTTATTTGTTTTTAAGAAATATTTGTATGGGATTTCTGTAGTAAAAATGTACTATGATTTTTCAAGATGATGACTTTGAATTCTTAAATAGCATTTGTAATTTTGTTTTGCTTATTTTGCAGCTCCAGTCATTAACCGATACAACAGAAGAGTATCAGGTATGGTTTCTTATTAAGAATTTTATGTCTCTGACAAAGTTCTGAAATGTTTATTTGACTGAAAGAAAGATATTTAAAGCGATCTTTTCTCTTTATTGCTGTTTTATTTACATGCTGATTGTTATTTTTATTTCACATAAAATATCTTCAACATGTATGCAGTAGTTACAGATTCTCTTTTAGACTACTTTGTTTGAAATTGGGAGTGAGTAACACTAGACAGCTACGATTAGCTGCCTAAAGATACCAAATGCCTGTGGTTACCTGGGCTACTAATGCAGATTCCAAGGGTATGTAAAACTGTGGAAGATGGACTTATTTATTCCTGTTGCCCAAACTGGAAACAGCTGTGGAAATACAGATAAGGAATTGTGCTTGTAGTTTTGTGCTTTGATACATGTAGCAGAGCTTTAAAGCCAGCTTGTATTGATTTTTTCAAACTGCAGAGAAGCTTCAGTAAGGAAAAAACGTTGCTAATTAGTGAATTTTCACTTAGGTGTTTAGTTTTTAATGATCTAAACCAGGAGTTCTTCAGGTGCTTGACTGGCACCACTGGCAAATGGTGCTTTAATTATTGTTAACACATAGCTGTCATTCTTGAAGACTTAAAATACAAATTCTGCTTTCCACACGGGTGGCATTTGGTCAGGAGGTTTATTAGTGCTTGTTTTGAACACTTTGAGTAGATGAGTTTACTCAATTCTGGCTTATGCAATACTTAGTAAAATACTTCTAGAACATCAGGGTTAATAAAACTGCTTGAGAAAGGGTAAGCTATTTGGAAGGTCAGGCAAACCTTTTACACTTAAAAATTACTGTGACTTTTCTCCAAAAGAACAGTGAATTTTATTTCTCTGTATCTTTTTAAATCATTAACCAAAAGTGATATTGCTTTCGTATCCCATATATGATAAATCAGTTGCACGTGCTGTTGTTTCTTTCCCATCCTGTAGTGCTGAGACCATGCAGATTGATTGATGGAAATGGTTCTGCTTACTTGCACTCGCTGTTTCTGCTATTGTTGCTAGTTATGTATCGCCTAGGCCAGTGTGGAGGGAGAGAGTGGTAACTTGCTTGGCATTAAACTCTTCCAGGTGCTTTGGCAGCTGAAAAGGCTCTGCAGGGAATCCCAGTTGCTTCTTGACCAAAGAAGAGCAGCTCTGTGTGCTGGCCAGAGGCACAACCTGCAGAGCAGGTGGCCCTGGCTGAGGGATGAAAAAACTCCATGGGCTGTGCAGGAGGGTCATGCTGGGAAAAGGGAGCTTATCTAATCACGTTGGTGCAATTCAGAGATGTGCAGTGGTAAAGCAGTGCTGCTCTGCAGAGAAACAGCCTTTCCAGGAAGTGCTAGGAGGGAGAAAGAAATGAGAGCTCAGTGTTCTCCCAGAGCTGATATAACAGCTTTGTTACTTGTGTATAGTGTGTTTGGCCACATGACATTGAGGTGCTGTGGCAGGCACTCAGACCACAAGCAATGTGTCTGCAGTACTAATTTGGATACAAGCTAGTTGACTGACTTGATTAAAACAATCCTCTATTTAGAAAATAATAGTCAGTGCCTTTGTAGAAATTAAAAAACAAAGCAACAACCAACCATCACCACCATCCCTAATTTTAAGATCTGTGGGTTGCAAAAGGCTGTGGTGCTAATTACCCACTATAACACTCGCTGCTGCTGTAAGTGAATTAGCCAAGTCTCAGCCTTTTGCTGGTATGAGTAACTCATATTGCTCTAGTTGTCCACTGACTCAGTCTGCCTGGGCTTGGTTTGGTCAGCCTGAGAGCCATACCAATTCCTGCTGCTAAGAGCTGGATTGTGTTGAAATTCATTCTTGCATGATTACGTTTCTTGATCTTTTTCCAAGCATAGGGGTGCCTCTCATTTTTTTTGTTAGTGAGGTCCCAGTCTGTGGTGAAGGAGGCTGCAGAGGATGCTGGTGTGTAGCCTGGCCTTTGGTTAGTGACTGCAGGCCGGGTGTGGAAGGTGGGAGACACCAGTGATCCCTCCTTTCACAAGGGGTAATTGAAGGGAAGAGAGCGCTGTGATTAGTCCTACTCTATGTTATGTATGATAGTAGTCCTACTAATTGATACATGAAATTGAGGAGAATTTGCTGCTAACAATATATGAATGAAAGTTAGCTGTGTTTTGAAAGGAAGAGAGAATCACGCCTACTTCAGTCTCAGTTGGGCAGTTTCTCCTCCTCTTTTAGTTTTAACATTTTTCAAAAAGGTAAACTATTTTGCTAGATTTGTGTATTGCCATTTCTGGACACCTTAGAGCCATTCCACAGAACACCCACTCTCCAGCAGGCTTGCTGACTTCCTCACAGGATATAAAAAAAAAAATCTGACAAAATGACACCCATACTGTAGACCTGTGACAGATTTTTCATCTGTTTTCTCTGATTTCATTCTATCCAAGTGACCTGCTGTAGTTTGTTTCTATTGCATATGCATGTATTCCCTCCTCAATCTACTTCCAGTCTGCATGGGATTGGGATGAGATTGTAGTTTTCACATTCAAGAATTATGTAGAATAATTAAATTGTATAATCTAGGGGATCTGGTTCTTTCCCTGGTCTTGTGCCAACAAAACAAAGTGACTGTCAGGATCTGTAACCATCTTCATGCTAATATAAAATGTAATAGAAATGGCCAGGAGTTGCTTTGGCTGGTGCTTCAGCAGGGGCGGCAGAGTCTCAGGGAAGTGGGGAGGATCAAATTTGCTGTCTGTGGAATTGTGTGCTAAGCCCTTTGTGAAGATAAAACTGCTGTATAAATGTTTATGTTTAGGAAGGATAATTCTGTTTAAGAGTTACTGAGTCCTGTTTTACTGTGTATGGCCAATAAAAAATCGGAGATTTGTGAAACCAAGTTAGGAAATTCATGGTTTACTTTAAAAAAAAATAAAGTGCAGTGTTTCTCCTAAGGAGGAGTGCCTGCTTTTAAGGTTCTGAATGTTTCGTGCTGAAGAGCAATGACAGAATTTCATTTGTTCCCTTCTAATAAGCGTCATATCTTAGCATCTTACTGTTTCAAGCTCCTCCAGGCTCAGGAGAGGTCCTTCCTGATGTGCAGCTTCAGAAAGCATTGGGAGGCTTTGTGTGGGTGAACAAGCAGCAGGCTTCCCATGCAGATCGTGGAGTTCCCATCCTTGGAGATGCTCGGAAGCCACGTGGGTCCAGTCCTGAGCAACCATTTTAGTGGACCCTAGTTTGAGTGGCAAGATTGGACTGGACCATCTTCATTCTCTTGGGATTCTATGGAACAGGAGAGAGTTATGTTTTCTTAGGTTATACTAGTTTTTCAATATTAAAAAAAAAATGTTGTTGACAAGATTTTTGGGAAAATTCGCCATCGTTGATGCTGAGGAAAAGTTTTGAATGGGGCTGTTACTGTTTCACAGAATTAGGTTGAAAGGGAGCTCTAGAGGTCACCTGGTCCAGCAAGCCTCTGCTGGAGCAAGGTCACTCAGAACAGGCTGCCCAGGGCCGTGTCCAGGTGGCTTTTGAAGATCTCTGAGCAGATGTTGTTTCTTGGTGCTGTGCCCAGGCTCCCTTCTTCTTCCTGCTCTTATCTGTGTACTTGCTGCCTTTTAAAGAGAGAAATAAGTTGAGAAACACTGAGCATGGGAACAGTCTGCACTAAGCAGAGAAGGCTGTTCAGTCCTCATGAGCATGTGCTTAGCCTCATTAAGGGAGGAAAGTACCTGCTTGTGCTCTGTGGTCAGTCCAAAAACCTGCAGCCTTCAGTTTGTGCTGTTTGTAGAATTCCTCTAACACAGTTTCAGCTCAAAAATTTTCTAATTTCGAATAGATTTTGTGATTTTAAGTCTGCATTTGGTGTTCATGAAGCATGTTTAAATTCCTTTTTGGTACGTTTTTTGTTTTTATTTCTATGAGGTTTGCTAGAAACTGAAATTGCCTCTTTCTCATTGAAACATCCCTTTTGAATTACATGGCGGTATTTCAGAGTGAGCTGGAGTTTTAACAGAAGGGCACAGCAGCATTGGTCATTTCTTGAGCAAAGCTCAGGTTGTGCTGCTGTCTCAAGGTCACAGCTTGTCACTGTGTGATTGCAGGGCATTCTGACTCTGCAACTTGGCCCACTCCAACTGCTTTCACGATAAAGAAATGATGAAATAGAATCTTAGTTCTGCTTTTAATCAGTGTGAAGTCTTTTTTTCAGCTTCATCTTCTTTTTATGAGCAGTCAGAGCACGTTTCAGCAAGTACAAGTGTGTATGTATATGTGCATTACTGTTTCTTTCATTTCCCTGTCCAGAGATATCTAAATTCCATTTCCTTTCATTTGAAAAAATTTGCGCTGCCTGATGCAGTTCCTGGATTCAAGTGCCTTTTTTGGTCTTACTGTGAAGGAAACAGGATTATTGCTGAGAACCATAGCAAAGTGCTTAGAAATGAATAAAGATTTTCTGTGTTGAACACTTGGAATTACTGCACTTTGTGATACAAATTATCTACAATAATTCTTGTATAAATATCTTTATCAGTGTGATAATTGTATAAGCAGCTGTCGCTCAATATTAGTTATTAATATTCACAGAATCTGGCAGTGACCTTAGGATTGCCCCATATGCCCACCAAGTATTGCATTTGGAATGAGTATTTGAAATTTCTCTTTTGCTTCTTTCTAGCAACATGAGACGATGATAGGGATTTTTTATCTTCATGTAACATTTTGACATGGTGTTTTCACAGGGTGTAGCTTTAGAATTTTATCTGTCAGTTGTGGGAATTGATGCCCTGTGACAGTTCTTGACTTCTGTTCCTCACAAGGTGAACTTTCCTAAGAGACCTACATGCTGCTGATGCTTCAATCTCATCATTTCTTCTCCATTTTGACAATGGGAGACTTCCTTCGATTCTCTTCATTTTTCAGTCTGCTACGAAAGCTGAGCAGTCATCTCGTGCACTAGATACCTTATTCAAGTCTGCTATCTCTCTGAGCTTTGCAATGAGTTACAGCATTTCCTTC